CTACCACTTGAGCCAGAGTACCACTTCCGTTTTTTTTCTGGTGGTTAATTGGAGATGAGTCTCACAGACTTTCCTGCCCTAGCTGGCTTTGAACCATGATCCTAGTATCTCAGCCTCCTGAGTAGCTAGGCGTGAGCCACTGGCGTCCAGCTGGGATTGAGCTTTATCATATTGATAATTCTGCACTCCATCTGTCTTGAGGGGTCTAAAAAAATGCTTTTTGGTAAAGAAATTGTTCTCCAGCTTGAATGAAATCCATGGCCTCTCCTAACAGAGACAATAATTAGCCCTAGTGTGCCTGGCTGGAAAAATTCCAGTTCTGGAATAAGGAAAAAAATGAAGAAATTATAGAGATAACTATAACACCTTTGTAAAAATCAGAGTACTGAGCTGAGTGCCTGCCATGTGACAGTCAGTAGCGGTCAGTATCGATGGCTATTCAGTTCTTACTAGTATTGTTACTGTGCTCGCTTCGCAACACATATACTAAAGTTGGAACGATACAGAGATTAGCATGGCCCCTGCACAAGGATGACTGGTAACATTACTTTTTCCCATCTGAGCTTAAAAAGGAGAATAGTATTAAAAACCACGGAAGCTGAGCATGGTGGCACATACCTGTCATCCTAGTTATGTGGAAGGTTGAAATTCAGAGGATCATAATTGCAGGCAAACCTGGGCAGAAAAGTAGAGGCTGTCATCCCAACTACTGCAGGAAGCAGAAAAATGGGGAAATCATCGTTCAAGCATATACCTAGCAAGAAGTGAGATCCTATCTTAGAGAGTGAAGCTGGAGCCAGGTGCCGGTTGCTCATGCCTGTAATCCTAGCTACTCAAGAGGCTGAGATCTGAGGATCATGGTTCAAAGTCAGCCTGGGCAGGAAAAGCCATGGAACTCTTATCTCCAATAAGCCACCAGAAATCCGGAAGTGGCGCCGTGGCTCAAGTGGTAGAGTACTAGCCTTGAGCTGAAGAGCTGAAAGTACAAGCTGGGTGCCAGTGACTCATGCTTGTAATCCTAGCTACTCCAGGAGGCAACCCAGCAAAAAGTGAGACCCTATCTCAGAGAACTCAAAAGCTCAGGGACAGCACCCAGCTCCTGAGTTCAAGTCCCAGGACCAACATAAAAAAATAAATGCAAAACGTCTGGGAGAGTGGCAGGAAGAGCAGAGCCTACAACAGAGCACTTGCCTAGCAAGTGTGAAGCCAGAGTTTAAACTCCAGGACCACCAAAGAGAGACTTGGTTTGAATTCCAAAGGCTTCACTTCCTACCCTTGGGCAAATTTCCTTATCTGTAAAATGAGTCCAGAAGATATCTGGGATAATTCCACACGAGGTTTGTGGAAGCACTGGCACCTAGTAGCATTTAGCAGCTACTTGCTGACCTCTGAACTCATTGCCTCAAGTTTTGTTTTTTTTTTTGTCAGTCCTGGGGCTTGAACTCAGAGCCTGGGTGCTGTCTCTCAGCTCTTCAGCTCAAGGCTGGCGCTCTACCACTTGAGCCACAGCACCACTTCCAGTTTTCTGGTGGTTAATTGGAGATAAGAGTATCATGGACTTTTCTGCCCAGGCTGGCTTTGAGCCACAATCCTCAGCTCTCAACCTCCTGAGTAGCTAGGATTACAGGTGTGAGCCACCGGCACCCAGCCCACGTGTGATTCTTTAAGCTAGAAGTGATATTTAGAGAACCAGCTTAATCCAAACTAGAATCTAAGCTAATGGCTCTCCTTGCCTAGAAACCACATGAGGAAAACAGTTGACTACAGAATGCACTCTAAGGGTATAGCCCATGAACTAATAATGCATCTTACTACTCAACAATGAGGGAGGCAAAGAAGCAAAATGGAGGCCCTTTTGTGACAGACTTGAAACATCCTAGCAGGCTCTATATTTTTAGCTGGTTGTTTAAAACCCTCATAAGAATTTGGTCTGTCCCATCTTGACTCACCTGGGGCTCTATACCAGACAAAGCAGCAGCAAAAGGGTTGAGCAAATCCACCTCAGCCACTGTGGCAGCAGGCAGAATAGAAACATGGCAGTGGTATTACTACTGAGTGCACAGCTGGTCACAACAGGGCTGTGACTGGACCAGATTGGAGAGGGACCTGCTCTAATTTCATGGGCCGCCTCCTGGCTTTGATCCCAGTAACTCCTAAATCCTCCCTTTTCATGGTTCAGACACACACACACACACCCTCTTCTTCAACACAGGTGTTCCTTAAGCCTGCAGCCACCTGCACAGGGTCATTCTCTTTTTCAGGGCTTGAATAAACACTGTCATTGCTTACCTACTTCCTACCCCTTCAGTGCTTCTGTCCAACCCCATTTAGTTTCTCTCATCTGGGACCTGACACCATAGCAGTGTTGTGACTTGGATAACACATTTTTAAATAGGGCTGCCTAAATTCAGGTTCAATAATAGCCACTAGGAATTGATTAAATTTAGTGTAAGTGCCAAGGTCAATTCTATTAGAAGAATTCACAGTTCTTATGAAGAGAGACTCTGGGATGGCTCTCTTCTTGATCATGCCTGTGATTACCAATAATCAGGTAAACTGAACAGGTTTAAACTGGTTTTTGAGGCCAGGTGGGTTATAAAGACAGACCTTGTCTCAAAAACCAAGAAAGGGGGCTGGGAAGGTGGCTCAGTGGTAGAGCGCTTGCCTTGCATGTCTGAGGCCCTGGGTTCGATTCCCTAGCACCACATAAGCAAAAAGAAAAGAGCCAGAAGTGGCGCTGTGGCTCAAGTGGTAGAGCGCTAGCCTTGAGCTGAAGAGCTGAGGGACAGTGCCCAGGCCCAGAGTTCAGGCCTCATGACCGGACCCCCCCCCCCAAAAAAAAAAAAAAAGAAAGGAAGATGTATGTGGGGAGGATTGATTTCTACTGAAAAGTAATTAAAACCCTGGGGCCAGGTGCTGGTGGCTCACTCCTGTAATCCTACCTACTCAGGCTGAGATCTGAGAGTTGTGGTTCAAAGCTAATTAACCACTAAAAAACTAGAAATGGAGCTTGGCTCAAAGTGGTAGAGCACTAGCCTTGAGCAAAAGAGCTCAGGGACAGTGCCCAGGCCCTGAATTCAAGCCCCACAACCAACAAAATATACCCAAGCTGGGTATGATAGCATATTTCTGTGGTCTCAGGTCCTCAGGAGGCTGAGGGAAGAAAATCAGTTGAGCTCCAGAGTTCTAGGCCACCTGGGGCAACATAACAAGATCCTAGTCTTAATATACCTACCCTTGTTTATTTTTTAAGATAGGGCCTCACTGTATAGCCCAGGTTGGTCTGGATTTCATGATCCTTCTGCCTCCACCTTCCCTAGTGGTAGAGTTACAGTCATATACCACCATACCTGGCACCTATGCTAACGTTGAACTCTTTTTTTTTTGTTGGCCGTGGGGCTTGAACTCTGGGCCTGGGCGCTGTCCCTCAGCTCTTCAGCTCAAGGCGAGCACTCTACCACTTGAGCTACAGCGCCACTTCCGGTTTTCTGGTGGTTTTTATTGGAGATAGGAGTCTCACGGTCTCTCCTGCCCGGGCTGGCTTTGAACCGTGATCCTCAGATCTCAGCCTCCTGAGTAGCTAGGATTTACAGGCGTGAGCCACCAGCGCCCGGCTAATGTTGAACTCTTTAGGCAAGAAAAAAAGGGCTAATCTTGTCTCCCACCTAATGACCTGACCCTTTAATATTTTCGCTATTTTCAGACTGCCATTCAGACTCAGATGAATAAACTTACCTGTAGCTAGGACGACAGTTGGAAGTGTGGTTCTCTGAGCATCTCCAGGTGGCAGCTCTGAACACACTTTCCTTTACTTCAGGACAATCTCTGTAAGAGATTGGTACCTATAAGAGTACCAGCCAAGGCAGGTGTAGCTCTTTAAGCAACCAGTCAGATCCCCTCCAGGCCCATTCCTTGGAGAAGTAGAACTACTTTCCCACAGAGTAAACAGTTTATCTGTGTGGCCGAAATTAAAGAGTGACCGTGCCTTAGGTCTAGCCAGCTGTTGCTCAGTCTCACAGGCAGCCCTTTAGGGTGTGAGCAGGGATAGCTGCTAGCTGCAGCTGAGCCCTGCATCTCAGCTCTTCCACCCAGCTAGTCCAGCCTAAGACGCAGAGCCAGCCAGAGGCTGGCTTTTTACAACCATAGTCAGGACTCCCTATAATCCTTTGTTCTGCCCAAGCTCTAAACTCTCATCAGACAGAATTTAAAATAAAGTGCTTTATTGCTGAGGATCCCAGAAAGCTTTCAGAGCTTCTGCAGAGAGGTTAAGGCAATTTTGGAGGATTTGTGAACAAAACAGTTGAGACTTCAACATGTCAGTCTCATTTTAGGAAAGCAAGTGTGGTTTGGGGAATTTGATGCCGGGGAGAGGGACAGGAGTGCTGTCTCCACTCCGCTCCCTGCTCAGTGCATTCCGTGACTACATAGAGCTTTATAGGGGCCACTGTGGAGAGCAACAATGCCAACTTCTAGGATGCTCCAAATCAGAGCTTTCCCCCATGGCCAGACTGCTGCTTACTTCAGGTCAAGGCAGCCTTCTAAATCCACCCCAAGTTCTGAATTCATCCTAAGCCTGGCCACTGTGATGGAAAACAGTGGCAGCTCCTAGTTCCACACATATCCTACCATTGGGCAGAACGCCAGGCAAAGGGAGAGGACAAGGCTCAGAACTAGAAGCCTCACCACTGCTGCCCCAAGCCCTCTGCTGGCCCCCAGCCCTTGGCAGAAATGTGGGAGGAGCTGTGGGCAGCCCACCTTGTTCAGTGGCCTCACAGCAACAGGTACCCAAGAGAGACCAGGAGGGGTAGTCACCAGGGCTCATGCAAAGGGCAGCTGTGGGCCCTTGTTGGCCTCTATGCCCATCCTCAGCAGACCAGGGCTCTGAGAGATTCCTAGCAGGTCTTAGAGCCCAGCTCTAGAGCAAGGAGAGAATGAGCCTGCCAGGCTGGAACACCTCCCCTCCTGGTAAGTGTGCACATAGTTGCACCCTGAGCCCTGTCTGTCCTTAACCTTCTCCCCAGGCTCCCTGGGGACATATGGGGCCCTGACATCACCCACAGACAGGACCTGGTGGGCCCTTGCACCCACCCAGTGTGGGCAGAGGCAGAAGCAGGATGAGGGCCACAGAAGTGGGGCATCCACATCAGTACTCTTTGGCCTCCTGCAGCTGGGCCAGATATTCTTCTTCCAGAGGGTTGTCAGTGCAGGCTCGGCCATTGTTGGGGGGCCGCACGGTGTGGTATCGGCTCCAGTCCCCCTTACACAGGATCCAGGGCAGCGTGTCCACCTTGAAGTGCAGTTCAGGTGAGAAGTCGGTGCTGATGAGGTCCGGCGCGCCTGCGCCCTTGCCACGGGTTAGCAGCCTACCGTGTTCGTCATAGCAGCAGTGCTGGGCGGCCAGTGTGCTGCTGTCCTTGGACAGCTCAGAACGCAGGCAGAAGCGCGCCGTGGGCTGGTAGATGTCCAGGCGTTCACGGGGCCCGCTGGCATCCCGCCACTGGAAGCTCTGGCCCTGCAGCTCATCCTGCAGGCTCACCGCACGGTACACAGCCTCCCGGGGGTACACACAGGGGCAGCTGGGCAGGTCCTGAAGCACCTGGCTCAAGTACTTGGATAGGAAGTCGCTCTTGCAGTTCAGCCACTTCTCACAGCCGTCCACAGCTGCAGAAAAAAGCAAGGTAGTCAGGGTGCAAGCCTGACCCATAGAGGAAGGGGAGTGGACAATGAGGGGCAAAGGCATGGCTGGGGGCAGGGGCAGGGCAGAACAGAAGGACCCAGGCCAGATCTGGGGGCAGATAAGGGCAGCCAGGTCCTGTAGGTACCAGAAAGAAGAGGTTGTTGCTCAAAATGAACTGGGGGATGGGGACGGGTGTCATCTTCACTACTGCCAAGATTCTGCGATCATGGGAAGGAGTCCAGGTTGGGGAGGTGGAGACAGGAACAGTGGAGGTTTTTGGCTTTTGGGTGGTGTTCTGGGACTTGAAAGGAGGGCTTTGCGTTCTACCTAAGTTTTCACTCAAGGCTGACACTCTACCACTTGAGCCATACCTCCAATTTCAGCTTTTTTTTTGGGGGGGGGGGGGGGGGAGAGGACTGACTGGTTAATTGGAGATAAGAATCTCATGATCTTTTCTACCCCGTCTGACTTCAGAATGGGATCCTCAGATCTCAGTCCTAGTAGCTAGGATTCTAGATGTGAGTCACCAGCTCCCAGATAGAGGTAGTGATTTTTCTTTTTCTTTAAATATAAGTTTATTACTTTTTTTTCTTTTTCAGTTGGTCATGGGGCTTGAACTCAGGGCCTGAACTCTGGGTCTGAGTGCTGTCCCTCAGCTCTTCAGCTCAAGGAGAGTGCTCTACCACTTGCTACAGTGCCACTTCCAGTTTTCTAGTGGTTAATTGGAGATAAGTGTCTCACGGACTTTCCTGCCCAGGCTGGCTTCAAACCACAATCCTCAGATCTCAGCCTCCTCAATAGATAGGATTACAGGCTTGAGCCACCGGTGCCCAGCTACTTTTTTCTTTAAATATTTTTTTTTTTATTATAAAAGTGATGTACAGAGGGGTTACAGTTTCATAAGTCAGGTAGGGGTAGTGGTTTTTAACCAAGGACTTATTTCCTTTTTTGAGGAGTAGGGTTCTGGTCTTGGGTCTTGAACTCAGGGTCTGGATGCTGTCCCTGAGCTTTTGTGCTCAAAGCTAATGCTCTACGAGTTTGAGCCACAGATCCTTTTTCAACTTTTTGGTAGTTAAAGATCAGCGTCTCATGGACTTTCCTGGCCAGGCTCTCTTTGCACCATGATCCTCAGATCTCAGCCTCTTGAGTAGCTAGGATTACAGGCGTGAGCCACCAGGGCCTGAAGTGTTTTCACATTTTAAACACTGGTCCATTCTTTTTTTTTTTTTTTTTTTCTTTTTTTTTGGGTCCGGTCGTGGGGCCTGAACTCTGGGTCTGGGCGCTGTCCCTCAGCTCTTCAGCTCAAGGCTAGCGCTCTACCACTTGAGCTATAGCGCCACTTCCGGCTTTTTTTCTTATGTGGTGCTGGGGAATTGAACCCAGGGCCTCATGCATGCAAGGCAAGCGCTCTACCACTGAGCCACCTTCCCAGCCCCAACACTGGTCCATTCTTATCTTCCTTTTTCTGGCCTTGGAACCTCAACAAGGCAGTCTGCCACAGGACAGCCTCTTGGCTTTCTCTGCTGCCTCCCAGTCCCGCTCTCTTCCAGGGATTCTGTCCACACAGAACAAACTACCCCTCCTTCCTGGCTCACAGACCTTTGAGGGCCTGCTTTGCAATACTGTACTCACATTGGTCATATGCGTCCTTGTGAGACTTGAACCCTTTGACTGCAGCTACCAGACCTCTGTTCACTATGAATGCTGGCCCCAATACAAAGCCGGTGCATGCTATGGGCACAAGGGCGGCTCAGGAAGCACTCACTGTAGGAAGTGTAGTTTCACCTGTGAAACAGGGTCACCTGACCAAGAGACACAGCCTTGGAGTGCCTAGTAGAAGCATGGTCCACTTCCCACTTGCCTAGCACACAGCCTTACAGTTCTGGATCCTGACTCATTTCTGATAGCTTCACATCCTCATCCCTAAAGTAGACCCTGCAGGAGCCTCCCAAGTATCCATCTTGTGGCCAGAAGAGATAACCCTCCACCCCTGGATCTCTCAGCTCTGTGACACCATCATGACTTTCTTCCAACAGGGAGCAAGGAGCTGGGAAGGGCCAAAAGATCTGGTCTGGAAATTGAGGTCCCTCTCCAGGAGATACAAGGCCCTCGGCTAGAGGCCAGGATCCCACCATAAAGTTAAACACTACTCTCCTGAGAAGTGGGGCTCTTCTGTGTGTCTGGGCTTCGACCCCCACTTACCTGGGTCAAACATATCCGTAGCATTGTGGACCAGGGGCAGCCACCCCTCACTGGGGAAGTCCAAGGTGTTCTCATCCTTGGTGCCTTTGGGAAGAGAGGGGGCCAGGCTGGTGGCACCATGCTCCCGATGGGGAAGCCCAGCCCTCACCAGGCTCTGGGTGCCCACAACAGCTGGGACAGGCCTGGGACAGGACCATCACATTTATGAGCTTCCTGCATCCCGTCTCCCCCAGCCCATCACTCCTATGACAGTCCCACACCCCCATTCCCCAAAGGCCCAAGCTCAGAGTCTATGCTCCATTTGCCATGCCTGTGCAGGGGCAGGGGCACATCTCACCAGGACAGGGAGGCAGGTCACAGACACGGGACTCGGTGGTAGTGCAGGCATAGCCGCAGGACCGAGTCCGCCGCTGGCTGCCGCTGCTGCAGCTCCCACTGCAAGGAGACCAGGGGCTCCACTCCTCCTGGGGCTCATGGTCTGCATCAAGGCAGGGAGCCAGGGTGAGTGCGCTCAGCCTGTAAGGCACACTGGTGCAAGTAAGCAAAGACACTCCTTCCTCAGCTGGATGCAGCCTGTGTCGGGACCCCTAGTCCAGTACATGAAATCATGGGCTGCCTTTCAATCTGAATTGCTCCCTTGACTGGGTACCTTGTGCAGTGAGCAACCTGTACAGATAGATGTATTAGATGGGCAAATGCATCACACAGAGCTCTATGGAGACCATGCAAACCTCAACCATTGCCAGCACAGCAATGGATAAGAAAAGCTATCCAGAGCTGAAAGTCCATGACCATTATCAGTAAGACCCTGGGCAAGTCCTATTACATCCTACTTTTTGTTTTGTTTTGTTTGTGCTAGGGCTGGGGCTTGAACTCAGGACCTGAGCACTGTCTTTAAGTTTTGCTTTTTTGGGGGAGTCGGTTGTGGGGCTTAAACTCTGGGCCTGGGCACTGTCCCTGAGCTCTTCAGCTCAAGGCTACAGCTCTATCACCTGAGCCACAACACCACTTCCGGTTTTCTGAGTGATTTATTGGAGATAAAGAGTCTCATGGACTTTCCTGCCCAGGCTGGCTTTGAACCATGATCCTCAGATTTCAGCCTCCTGAGTACCTAGGATTATAAGCATGAGCCACCAGTGCCCGGCTCTTTGAGCTTTTTTGATCAAGGCTAGTCCTCTATCATTTGAGTCACAGCTCCACTTCTGGCTTTTTTTATTTTGGTAGTTAATTGGAGATCAGAGTCTCATAAACTTTCTTTCCAGGCTGGTATTTTTTGTTTTGGCCTGTCATGGGGCTTGAACTCAGGGCCTGGGTACTGAGCTTCTTTGGCTCAAGACTAGTGCTCTACCATTTGAGCTACAGCTCTACTTCAGGCTTTTTTTGTTCTGTTTATGTGGCACTGAGGAATTGAACCCAGGGCTTCATGCATGCTAGGCAAGCACTCCCACTGAGCCACATTCCCAGCCCCCAGGCTGGTATTTTTAATCACAATCCTCAGATCTCAGCCTCCTAAGTAGCTGGGATTACAAGTATAAGCCATAGGTGCACGGCTCCTAGCTAGGGCTTTTATGTCAATCTAAAACCAAGGGTGACAATACTTCTCTGGTACTGGGGTTATTAAAGAGTGCCATGGATGTCCTTGGAAAGCTCAAACAAGCTGTGTCTAAGCCTGCTGTCCTAGGCCGAGCAGGGCCGAGGGCCTGGGGCTCAGTGCTGGAGCCGGGCATACTGCTTCCTGGCAGGCCACACAGGGTGAGCAGGCAGCAAGAGTTGGGAGACAGTGGATGAGAGAAAAGCTGAAAGTTGTGACATTACTCTGGAAAACCTGAAAGAGATTGTGATGATTTACAGGCACTTTAGCCAATGATAAGACCTCAGGGCTCCTGGGAAAACAGCTACAATGGTATGTAAACCATGTCTGCACCCAGAGGAAGCCGAACAATATGCAAAAATAAATAGTAGGCTGTAGGTGCTAGGAAGTATTTCCTGAATAATTTGTGCTCTGGTATCTTTTTCTATATCTTTTTTTTCTAATAAAAAGAATGAGTCAGGCACCAGTGACTTGTGCCTGTAACCCTAGCTTCTCAGGAGGCTGAGATCTGAGTTTCACAGTTCAATGCCAGCCTGAGCAGAAAAGTCCCTGTGAGACTCTCATCTCCAATTAATCACTCAAAAACCAGAAGTGGCACCATGGCTCAAGTGGTAGAGCTCTAGCCTTGAGCACAAATAGCTCAGGGACAGTGCCCAGGCCCTGAATTCAAGCCCTATAACCAACTAATAATGAGAACGGGGGAAGGGGGAGGGGAGGAGGAGGAGGGGGGAGGGGGAGGAGGAGGAGGGGGAGGGGGAGGAGGAGGAGGAGATGATAGAGGCTCACATCTGTAATCCTAGCTACATAGGAGAATGAGATCTGAGGATCAAGGTTTGAAGCCAACCTAAACAGAAAAGTCCATGAAACTCTTAGCTACAATTAACCAGCAAATAGCCAGAAGTAGAAATGTAGCTCAAGTGGTAAAGTCCTTCCCTGCCTTGAGAGAAAAAGCTAAGGCAGAGTGTCTTGACCCTAAGTTCAAAATAAAATAATAGCAAAAGCCACCCTTTGGTTACCATATGCTGGCACTTCATGTAGATCACATCATTTAATACAGCCCTGGTAAAGACTGTTCCATTCTCTATTCATAGAAGAAGGACCTGAGATGCAGAGAGGCTAGTTAAGTAACTTGCTTAAAGTCCTTCAGCCGTCATGCAGCACAGCCAGGATTCAAACCCACAGTCTGAATACGAAATGGTTTGTGAATAGTGAGTTTTATAATATTTTCAATTCGATGGAAAGTGATAGATTTGATTATGTAATGTTGATACATCTCTCTGGCTTAGGGGATCTTTGGGTTGTCATGGGGGTCAAATGTTGCTGGAAAAATACCTTTGCAAGAGCATGGTACTGTCACTTTTAAGCTGATGATGGCATCTGTCCAAGGACAGAGCTCCTGGCCTCCCCAGCTCTTCCTGTCTGGGAAGCTCTCAGTCTTCCCCTCCACCCATTTCCACTTAGGATCTATGTAGAGGGCACACTATGATCCCAGGCTGGAGGTACTTACCATAGCTTTCTGGTTCATTGAAGTCCCAGTCCCCAGGACCCAGCCAACTGTCTGTGGCTCCACTGGACCAGGCTTCCTCTTCTTCTTCTTCTTCGTTGTCTTCTTGATCTTCACCCTCACCATACTCTGTAGGGTAATCCTCCTCTTCATCTTCTGACTCTTCCTCTTCTCCTGGGGCACTGCTAAGACCCCCTTCCTCACCCTCCTGGTAGCCCCAGAAGAGGGGCCAAAAGTGCAGCCAGCTAGGGGTACTCTGGGGCCAGCGATTGCTGGGCTCAGCCAGCAGGTCCATCTCCACCTCAGCCTGGGAGTTCTCTACAACCTCAATGGTTACCTGCAGGGAGAAAGATGCCAGGGAGAGCTCAGAGCAGGATCCAAGGAAAGGACCAAGGAAGGGGCCGGGGACAGGGTCAGAAGACCAAGGACATTCTTGCCTGCAACTTTTCTATCTTCTCTCACTGGCCTAGGCCTCTTAGGGCACCTGGGACACACTTTGAGGATCTGCCCTGCATCAAGAATTAGGAAGAGCCAGGTGCTGGTGGCTCATGTCTGTAACCCTAACTACCAGGAGGCTGAGATCTGAGGATAGCAGTTTGAAGCCAGCCCAAGCAGGAAAGTCTGTGAGACTCTTACCTCCAATAAACTTCCAAAAAGCAGGAAGTGGAGGTGTGGCTTAAATGGTCGAGTGTTAGCCTTGAGCAAGAAAACTCAGGGATAGCACCCAGGCCCTGAATTGAAGCCCCAGGATTGGCACATAACATACACGCATACACACACATACATGTGCACATACACAAAGAATTAAGGTTTCTAACTCCCAGCCCCACATATGGATTGCAATGAGGACAGCCATGGAAAAGTCAGTATGTAGCTAAGACCTAATTTACAAGAAAGTGGTTTGAATTCCGGCTCCACCATACATAGGCTGCCTGGCCTCAGGTACTAGGAACAGCACTGAGCTTCCTATTTCTCCATGTAGTGCTGGAAAAGACCTCCCATGTCACATCTCCATGTAACCTCCACAGGAGCTCTCTCCCCACACTAACCTAATAAAGGAAAAAAGTCACTAGCCAAGTACAAGTAGCTCATGCCTGTAATCCTAGCTACTCCAGAGCTTTAGATCTGGAGAATTGGAAATTCAAAGACAGACTGGGCAGAAAAGTCCATGAGACTCCACATCCAACTAACTAGCAAAAAGCTGGGATTGTGGTTAGAGCACCAACCATGAACAAAAAAGCCAAGCAAGTTCAGGCCCCAGTACAGGCTATATAATATATACATATATATATATATATATATACATATATATATACATGTACACATATGTATATATATGAATGATAAAATAATTTTAGAATGTTATTGTTATTATATATTATTATAACATATATGATAAAGCAACTTTAAGATGTTCTATACTTTTTGTGATCTTTTCCTCCCTCTTTTGGCAAGAGTGTTTTGCAAACTGTAGGTGCTACACAAACATGCAGAATTATCCTCGGCGAATAAAGGCTGAAAGTGGGCAGTGGAAAGATCAGGTGGGGTGCCCTCCATGCCCCAGCCTATCTCCTTCTAAATTGAACCACGCATCAGGGCCTGCAGTAAGGGCTGGGTGGAGTGGGTACAGACCTGTAGTTTTTCCAGAAGGCCCCTCTCCCCACATTCAGGGCACCCTGCAGTTGAAGCATTTGTCACTCATTCAATGCTCATGACAGCCCCGCCACGTTAGTGTTGTTTGCCCCTTGCTGTGGTTCAGGGGATAAGGCTTGGAGACCACACCTGTCCAAGGCTGGCATCTAGAAAATGAGGGGCAGGTGCTCATCCCACATTCCCTGGGGGAGCACATAAAGAATTCTTCATCTTCACAAGGACCTTTCAAGGAAAAAGGTAAGGGGCTGAGCTACCAGCCCAGCTCCTCTCCAGAGTTCACTGAGTCAGTGGTACATCTGTAGTCTCACCTGGATGTTGGGGTTCGGGGCACTCAAGTCTGTGTTGGCCAATCCCGGTAGCTTCTGCAACTCCAGCAGCAAAGGGGTAGCTTCCAGGGCCCCAGGAGGGATGGCCATGCCCGGGGTCAGGGCCACTGGATCAGGGAGGGTCTGGCACCTGTCCTGGCATGGCCCTGCCTGGACATGGTTTCTGGGGAGCCCTGGTGTCTCCTCCTCTTTTCCAGAAGAGTCAGGATTTAGGGTGGCTGAGGCCTGGGGAGAGAGGGAATGTGGGTAACTGAGATCAGGGTCCACCCCATGTGGATCGGAAGAGTCAGGTCAGGGGAGTCGGGAGTCCTGAGCTCTGACTGTGCCATCTGCTCACCCTGTGACTCAAGCCCATGTTGAATGTTATGTATGGATGAGAATCTAAGCACTGTCTTCATGGCCTCCAAGGTCCGGTGAAGTGTAACTGGGTGGATAGTGAACCCAGTCCACAAAATGCTTTGATAACTGATCCCAATATGAAGCAGAATCCAAACTTCTCACAGATGAACGTGCTGTTCTAACGTGCTGTCTGCAGATGATCTGCCTCAAAACCTTTACCCCCTGCCTCCCTCTTCCTCCCCTCCCCCGGCCCAACCTCTACATCCAGGTCCTCACAAGTCAGAATGGGAAGATTTCCAGGAATGAGCCTGATCTTACAGAGGATAGGCCAGAGACCTGGCCCTTCTCCTCAACCCAGCCTGTTCCTCAGCCACTTGTCCTTTTGGGGACTGATTCCTTAGCATCTGCAACCTTAGCTACCTTCCTCCTCCTGCCCACTTATGGCCTAGTCCTCTACCTTTACCAGGCTGCTTGTATGGCTAGCTATTAGCCAGTTCATCTCTTCTACTAGTCACTGGCCTTGGTGACCACATCCAGGGCTATGTCTTTAGCTGAGACAATCTGGGAAAGGCATAACTGGCCATCTCCGGCTCCTGAATCACCAGCTCAGACAGTTGGCATTGGGGGATTGACAGCTGCCACTTAACTCTAGGTCTTGGCCATTTGCCCAGGTCTCTATGGCAGGGCAGAAAGAATCCCTTCCAGGGTTGCTGCTGCAGATCTCAGGGTCCTAGAGTCTGTATATTCTGCCCCATGAAGGCCTTGGCCTGGACCTTCCTGTTGCAGTCCTGAGACAGTAGTTAAAAAAAAAAAAAAAAAAAGCTTCTGGGTGCTTGTGGTTCATGACTGTAATCCTAGCTACTCAGAAGGCTGAGATCTGAGGACTGTGGTTAGAAGCCAACCCAGACAGGAAAGTACATGAGATTTTTTTTTTTTTTTTTTTTTGGGTCCGGTCATGGGGCCTGAACTCTGGGCCTGGGCGCTGTCCCTCAGCTCTTCAGCTCAAGGCTAGCGCTCTACCACTTGAGCCACAGCACCACTTCCGGCTTTTTTCTTTTTGCTTATGTGGTGCTAAGGAACTGAACCCAGGGCCTCATGCATGCAAGGCAAGCGCTCTACCACTGAGCCACCTTCCCAGCCCAGTACATGAGATTCTTACCTTCAATTAACCACTGGAAAACCAGAAGTAGAGCTGTGGCTCAAAGTGGTAGAATGATAGCCTTGATCAGAAAAGCTCAGGGACAAGCTGGGCGCCGGTGGCTCATGCCTGTAATCCTAGCTACTCAGGAGGCTGAGATCTGAGGATCTTGGTTCAAAGCCAGCCCAGGCAGGAAATTCTGTGAGACTCTTATCTCCAATAAACCACTAGAAAACCGGGAGTGGCACTGTGGCTCAAGCGGTAGAGTACTCGCCTTGAGCTGAAGAGCTGAGGGACAGTGCCCAGGCCCAGAGTTCAAGCCCCACGACTGACAAAAAAATAAAGCTCAGGGACAGTACCCAGGCCCTGAGTTCAGGCCCTACGATCACCCCCCACCCCCACCCCCACACACACCCAGAAAAAAGCTTTTGGAGGGTCAGAGTCAGATAAGTCTGAGGCCCAGAGCAAGCTGGACTTTTAACTTGATGACTTCCTTCTTTGAAAAAGGAGGATGACAATTCCTATCTGGAAGGAATGTTGGAATTTATCAAACATGGGGACAGTGTTTACTGTGCACCAGGCACTATTCTTTTTTTTTTTTTTTTTTGGGTCCAGTCGTGGGGCCTGAACTCTGGGCCTGTCGCTGTCCCTCAGCTCTTCAGCTCAAGGCTAGCGCTCTACCACTTGAGCCATAGCACCACTTCCGGCTTTTTTCTTTTTGCTTATGTGGTGCTGAGGAATTGAACCCAGGGCCTCATGCATGCAAGGCAAGCACTCTACCACTGAGCCACCTTCCCAGCCCCCACCAGGCACTATTCTAAACATTCATTTCATCCTGCCAATAGCACTCGCAGGTAGGTGCTACCTGCCATTCTCGTATACAATGGCAACTCAGGCACCGAGAGAGCAAGCAGTCTCCCAGGCATGCTGGGCCCAAGGGTCTAGGCCCTTAACCATTGTGCTATATGACTACAAGCAAACCCGAGTTCTGAGAGTCTGTGCACTTCCCAAACTAGCTTCTCCATCAGTTTCTGCCTCTTTCTCCTTTGACCTCCCTGCCTGCCTAGAACACCTGGTCCCAAGACAGCCCTAGGCCCTGTGATTCTGGATCCCTATCTTTTGCCAAGTTAAAGCTCTTTGGTCTATATCCAGAGATGGAGAGAAGGAGTAATTAAGAAACCCCTTCTCTGACCTGCCCTGGAGGCTTGATGCACATAGGAAGGTCACTCCTATCCATAGTCTCTGCTGCTCTGGGATCTTAGCTGTTCAAAGGTTACAACCAGGCACCCCTCAGGGCTGATCTGTGCTGGTGAAGTGGTAGTTCTCACCTGGGGACACTTGATAAACATCCTGTGATAGGAGTGGCTGTCACACCAGGAAGAGATTTCTAGGAACACCTGGTGGGCAGAGGTCATGGATAGCGCCACGTGCAAAGTAGAAGCCATGCATGCTGCAGATAAGAGACTTTGCTGGAGTCTGCTGCCTGGTCTGAATTCTCAGCTCTGTGAGCTTCCTCATCCGCAAAATGAGGACAGTAACAGAGGTGCCCACAACGTTCTATTCCAGCCATCCCCAGCTTCTCCTTTTCCTGCTGCTCAGTCAGCTCATAGAACAATCAAAGCCGGAAAAGGCAGGAGTCCTCCCTGGAGCACACGTGCACACACACGTGTGCGTGCATACACACACGCACACACACACACATGCCACCCCAACCCCCAGGCTTGACTGGACTATCCTGATCCTGGTATCTGAAGGGAGCATTGGAGTGTCCTGATCCCCACAAACCCCACTGCATTGCCCTGTCCGCCTGCGAACCTGCTCAGCCCCTGCAGCTGCCCCTGGGCCTCAGGGGTCAGGAATTCATTCCAATATTGGAATCCAGCTGTTGTGCAGGCCAGCACCTCTGTCCCTTGCCCTCGCGGCCCCGGCCCATCCACACAGACAGAAACTGTGTGTTCAGTGGCTCTGGCCTCCAGAGAGGGCAGGACACCCAGCCTTCCCAGCAACTGCCCATCCTGCTCAGGCCTGGGATCCCAGGAGAGGAAAAGGGGTGGGACTTCCCTCCTGACTAGCACACACTATTCTAGCCCACTCACCCCGGACCTTCAGGATGGCCTCCAAGGCAAGCAGGGCCAGCTTCATGGAGTGCTCTGTGAGTGCCTGCCCAAGACACTTGGTTGCCATCCTGAAATACACATTCTCATTCTTCAGTGGGCCCCACTCTATACAGCCAGTCCAGCTGAGCACCCCACAGGACCCGAATCCTCATGGCTACTTTTTCTTTCTTTTTTTTTTTTTTTTGGAGGGGGGGAGGGTCTGGTCGTGGGGCCTGACCTCTGGGCTTGGGCGCTGTCCCTCAGTTCTTCAGCTCAAGGCTAGCACTCTACCACTTGAGCCACAGCGCCACTTCCGGCTTTTTTCTTTTTTGCTTATGTGGTGCTAGGAATCGAACCCAGGGCCTCAGGCATGCAAGGCAAACGCTCTACCACTGAGCCACCTTCCCAGCCCCCTCTCATGGCTACTTTTTGTGCAGATAGGAGCATCATCCTTATGTCACAGATGAGGTGCCAAGGTTTAGGGAGGTGAAGTTGTCTGGGTCACACAGTTAGGGCTGGAGAGGGGATCTGAAGCAACAGGTCTAATTCATGTAAGTATCTCGATAACTCTAGGCAAGAAGGGGCAGCACCTTTTGGTTTGTTGCCTGACGCTCCTCTTGTGTGTGTGTGTGTGGGGGGGGGTGCACACACCCCAGTACCGGGGCTTGATTTCAGGGCCTGGTCACTGTTCCTTCGCTTTTACGCTCAAGCCTGGCACTCTACTAGCTGAACCATAGCTCCACTTTTTTTTTCTTTTTGGTGGTTAAAGGGAGATAAGCATCCCATGAATTTTTCCTTCTTGGGCTAGCTTTGAACCTTGAGTGGTGTAGCTTTGAATCTTGATCATCAGATCTCAGCCTCTTGAGTAGCTGGGATCATAGCTATCAGCTTGTTTGCCTGCCACTCTTTGCTGCTGAATGAACAACACTAAAACAGGAAAACCCCACTAGACTTTGTATCCATTTTCCCCTCTGATCTTCTGAACAGCCTGGAAGAGAAGAGGGGAACCAGCCTGAGATTTCTGAGACCCAGGGTGGTTAGAGACTCACCATGGAGCAGCCAGGCTTCCAGCCCCCATTCATGTCCTCTTCTCTCTCCCTCAAAAAGCTCTCCTATGATTCCTTTCCCCACCCCCTCTCTCAGAGAGAACGAGAAGAGGGAAGCAAGGTCCTGAGAGGTGAGCAGCTGCAGGCTGAGGCTATCCAGAAAGGCCTAGGCTTCACTTCATAATGGCTCAGGCTTTCACTCCCTCTCTGACACTGGCTGAGACAGAAAGCCTCCACTGCAAGAAAGCCAACCTTAGAAAGTACCTGCTCCTTGGTGTCATCCCTCAGACAGGAAAGACCTTCAAGTCCTCCCCCTCCTACCCTCCCAGGGCTACCTTGCCTTTCAGCCCTCCTTCCTCTGACCTAGTGTCTGTCTGTCTGTCTGTCTCTCTCTCTCTCTCTTTAATTGGAGATAAGAGTCTCACAGACTTGGGCTGGGAAGGTGGCTCAGTGGTAGAGCACTTGCCTTACATGCATGAGGCCCTGGGTTCGATTCCTCAGCACCACATAAGTAGAAAAGGCCAGATGTGGAGCTGTGGCTCAAGTGGTAGAGCACTATAGCCTTGAGCTGAAGAGCTGAGGGGCAGTGCCAGACCTAGAGTTCAGGCCCCAAAACAACAACAACAAAAAAGACTCACAGACTTTTCTGCCCAGGCTGGTGTTGAACCATGATCCTCAGATCTCAGCCTCCTGAGTAGCTAGGATTATAGGCGTGAGCCACTAGCACCCTACCTAGTCTTTCTCAGTTCATGCCTCAAAAAGTGTTTCTTGCCGGGTGCCGGCAAGACAAAACAAAAAAAGTGTTTCCTTCCACGACCATGAGATCCTGGTTGCTGGAGAAGGAGCTTCCCCCCCTGTGCCATGTGGGGACCCTGGCTATGAGGTACCCCTTGCAATCTGGAAGAGCTTGCCCCTTCCAGTTCTCTCTTTCGTCTAATTTAAACCTCCACTGCCAAGACCCTCAACTCTCTGTCTTTCTTGCTCAGTGACTGGCGCCATCAAGTGACCAAATGAAGGAAAGTTGGGTCTGGACAAGGCTCTCCATGAACTAAACCTGGGGTAGTTATTAGACCTGTTGTTGGCTTCCTCGTCCCTGTGACCATAACAAGATAAGGCATGGCACACAAAATGCCTGGCGAGGTGGCTCATCCCAATGGAACCCAAGGCAGAGCTGTGCCATTCTTTATCCATCCCACAAACTGCTTGGCGCCTTCCCGTGGGAGTGACAGCGCCTCCCATCGGTCCAGTGATTCCTTACCCAGCACTCCTTCAGGTTGAACACATCCTTACTTCCATTTTGATGTGGGAGTAAACTGAGGCACAGTGATGGGTCTACTTAGAGTGTGGCACACCATTTGTGAAGTTAAGGCTTATTTTTAAAGACTTTAGATAAGCAGCCTGGGGGAGATACCATAAAGTCCCCAAGGTAGCTCTCTCCCGCCCTCCTCCCTTCTTGTTTTCTTTTTTTCTTTTCATGGCCTCTAGCCAAACCTTTTTTACACCAGTTTTTGAGATAGGCTCTTACTTCCTGCCCAGGCACCTGCCTGAGCCATTACCTGCCTATTTTAGGCTTCCTGTTGTAAACAGGTTGACAAGTGCCCGGTTTCTTCTGTTAAGATGGGGTCTCCCCCAAGAACTTTTTCTGGACCTGTGGTCCTCCTGATCACATAGCTGGCATGACAGGTACACAGCACCGTGCCCAGCTATTGGTTGAGAAGGGGTCTTGTGTATATATTCTTCCCATTTGAGATGAGGATACTGAGAAGTCACTAGAAGATGGTAAGGGCTGGCCCAGGCTGGTCTCGAACCTCAGTCTGCCTAACTTGCAGCCTTCCAAGTAGCTAGGGTTACAGACGTGAGCCACTAGTGTTCAACCCCAGTCTAATGCTTACTCTGGCTCTGGTCTCCATTTATCTTCTCTGGGCCTTAATCCCACCCCTCCCTGGCCCCCCAAATCTGGTAAAAAGAGGGATGCCTATGTCAAATGGAGTGGCAATGGTCTGATATCTAAGGGACAGAGAACATGAAGTGTATCTGATTTTAAATTTTCATCCCAGACCTGAGGGGAGCACAGTAGGAAAAAAGTCTAAAAGGCTTCTTAAAGAGGCAGAAACACTATCTACAATGTGACTGGTCCCCTTCTTTCCCGGTCTCTGGAGGGTCCTGGCAGGCCGGCTCTATCAGCCTAGCACTCACCCACCATCTCATCATGACTTCCCCGCAGTGTCCTTCTCTCACAAATGGGAAGAATTCTGGCTTCCCTGGGATCATCTCTGGGCACACAGGGACCCAGGGGCGCAGACCACCGCCACCTCAGGCCGGCTACTACATTTGCCTGGGGGGGGGGAAACCTCAATAGCTGAGCTTCAGTGACTGGAAGCAGGCAGGACTTGACAGACCATGCTTTCTCTGACCCCCTGCCTCAATTCACCCTTCCAAGAGCTGGAGTTAAGAGGCTGCTCCAGGTGACCAGCGGATCCTTTGGAGGTGCGGCAGCCCCAGTCCAAGCCGGCAAGGGCACAGGTGAGGTTGGCTCAGGGCGAGGAAGGGAGCGGGGAGCCCAACCATCGTGTGGGCTCACCTTGCTCAGCACAGAAGCAAACTCCCCCCACCCCCCATTCTGGTCCGCTACCCCTCGGCCATGAGTTCGCGGCCACGCGCGGGACCCGGGGACCCCGGGTGGAGTCTCAGCGGAGCTGCCGGTCGCCGCCCGGGCGCTGGTGGGTTGGGGGCCCTCTGGCCGGCCGGCCCTCACCCTCGAGAGATAGCTGGCCAAGTCCCCGCACCCTCGCCGCTCACCTCCTCCAGCCTCGCGTGGCTCCTGGACTGGGGCTCCAGACCCCGCGGCTTCCTCACGGGGAGCCCTCGGCCCGCGTCCAGCAGCGCCGCCACGAGCATCGCGCTGAGCAGGAGCCGACGCATCGCGGTCCTGGCCGAGGCTGCTCTGCGGGAGCCTCCGCCTTGTTCGCTCGGGAGCCTGTTCGCGCCCCGCCTCGCCACCTCCGGGGGCGGGAGCGCGGGCTGCGGCGCGCAAGGGTCTGGCGGAGGGGGGGGGGGGTGCGCGCGGGACGCGGGGGCGCGCGGGGCGCGGGGACGCGCGCGGGGTGCCCAGGGCCACGCGAGGACCAGGTGAGGGGTGGCCAGGGGTCACGGGAGACGTGCTCGGGAACCTGGCGAAGGGCGCACGCGGGGGCTACGGGGGCGCGCGGACCTGGCGAGGGGGCTCCTGGGGCTACGGGCGCGCGCGCGCGGGGAACCTGGCGAAGGGCGCGCGCGGGAGTCGCGGGGACGCGCGGCGGGGGCGCGCGGGTCGCCCTCCCGCGGGGCTGGGCGCTTGCTCGGCAGTGTGGGTCAGCGCGCCGCGGGGTCCCCCGCCTTCCCGGACGGGGCCCCTCGGCGCTCGCAGACGCGTCCCGGCCCGGCGGGCCGCCTCCTTTGATCTGGCCGTCTCCACGCCTGGCCGTCCCAGCCGCTGTCGCCGTCGCGGCCCCCGAGCGAATTCCTGCCGGGGGTGGGGGGTGGGGGGGAGGGAAGCGGCCGCCCGCCGCGGCGACTCCCGCGGGGAGGGAGGGTCCGCCTCCCGACCCCGCGCTCCGCGACGGCGGCCGCGACCTGCGGGGCCTCGCGGGGCCGGCCGGCGAGTGGCGGGGCGGGGGAGAGGGGGAGCCGGGCCCTGGCGGAAGCGCCGCGAGTGCCCCGAGGTAGGTCCGCTCGGGGGAGCGGCAGCGCGTCCGGTCCCGCGAGGCTCCTCCGAGCCCCGCACACGCGGGAGCGCAGGCTCCGAAGTCGGGATGAAGTCCGGGGATGAGCGTGCGGCCGCGGGAGGGCGGGGGGGGGGGGGGGACGCCGACGCCAGGACACCTGCCCGGCAACGCGGAGCGACATCCCGTCCAGGACCAGGCAGGGGGGCCGCCCTTCCCTCCGCGACACCCCGGCCCGAGGACCCGCGCGACGGCGGCCTCCCGCGGGCGAAGCCTGGTACAAAGGAGCGAGGGGCAGTGCCAGTCCGAGCGCGCCCGTGCTGGGACCTGGAGGGCCGGCGGGTCCGGCTGGGCCCCGCGCAGCTGAGGTGCGTCTGCGCCCGCCCGTCTCAACAGCGCAGGGTGGAGAATCGCCGAGCACTCAGCCCAGTCTTGGGTCGGATCCTGGGAGTTGAGTGCTGGCAGTTTCCGATGCTTGATCTGGCTAAGAAGGTGCTGATCCACGGTAAGCGTGCAGATGGCAGCCAAAAGGTCAGCACCGGCTGTAGGGTGTGGCTGTGTGTGTGTGTGACCTGAACTCGGGGCCTGATTGCTATCCCTGAGCTGTTGTGTTCAAGGCTAGTGCTCTACCACTTGAGCCACAGTTCCACTTCTGTGGTTAATTGGAGGTAAGAATTTCACAGACTTTCCAACGGGGTAGGAGGCTGTCGGGGGGAGGGGTTGGTTGGCTTTAAAGGGCTATCATCAGATCTCAGCCTCCTGAGTAGCTAGGATTACACGTGTGAGCCAGCGCTGGGCTGGTGGAGGTTTTTTGTTTGTTTTTGTGTAGAAGCCTTTCACTTCCAGTCTAATTATCTTTTCACCACACCTCAGCCCCTTCCACCACAGTAAACCTAGGCTTCTGAAGATAAAGAATCCATTCATCAGCCTGGCTAGCTACTCAGGAGATCTTAGGATAGCGTTCAAAGCCAGCCCAGGCAGGGAAAGTCCATGAGATTCATCTCTAATCACCCACCAGAAAAACCAGAAGTGCCACTGTGGCTCAAGAGGTAGAGCGCTAGCCTAGAGCTGAAGAGCTGAGGGACAGCTCCCAGGCCCAGAGTTCAAATCTCATGACTGACAAAGAACAAAAACCAAACAAACAAACAAAACCCCCCAAATACCCTAGAGCATGTGTTTCCCTGTCAATTACCCACTACTCAACAAGCTTAACTTGGTCTAAGGGCTGTCCAGGTGCACACTCTGTTCTCACATCCCCCACCCCCATGAAACTGATTACTTCTAAAAATCCGTTTACTTGAATTTGCACATCAAAATATGGCCATTTTAATTGTGCAGTTTAGTGAGATTTCGCTGCCCACCCCCCCATCCTCTTACTCTTTTTTTCCTGTGCTGAGGATTGAACCTAGGGCCTCCCATATGCTAGGCAAGTGTTCTACTGTTTGAGCTACATTGCCCCTAGCCATTTTGTTTTTGGGATAGGATCTCAAGACCTTTGCCCAGCTTAGCCTTGAACTCAAGACCCTCCAGCGTATATCTCCTGAGTAACTGGGATTATACAGCATATACCATCATGTACAGCATGTACCGCCATGTCCTCACCAGGACCTTGTGCTTGCTAGACAGGCACTCTAGCATTTGAGAACTGCATCCCCAACACTTTTCTTTCTTTTTCTTTCTTGGCTTTAGTTAGTTTTTAGGTAGGATCTTGAGTCTAGGGAATAAGTAGAAGGGAGAGTGGCACCAAGCCCTGGGCCTTTTGATGGTGAACCTTGATTGCAAACTTAATTGGACTGAGAATCAACTAGGAGATTATCGGAGAAGACCTCTGGGAACGTCTTTAATGATGTTTGAGAGATGGTTAGGCCAATAAAGGCTTTAATCTAATCAACGGATTAATCCCTTGATAGATTCATGATCTGATGGCCTGAGAAGGTAGTGAAAGGCTGGGGTAGGGCCTAGTTGGAGGAAGGAGGTCACTGGAGGTGTGTCTTGGGCATCATGTCCAGCTCTGGCCACTTCCTGTTTGCTCTTTTTCGTCTGCTTTCTGGCCTTCTTGATGATACTCCGCTCTCTCATGCCCTCCTGCCATGATGGAGCCACATCTCTGAAATAAATAATATCCCCCTTTAAACTGCTTTCAAGTTTGCTGGTCACAGTGACACAAAAGTTACTAAACAGATTTTTTTTTTTTTGGGTCTGGGCGTGGGGCCTGAACTCTGGGCCTGGGCACTGTCCCTCAGCTCTTCAGCTCAAGGCTAGCACTCTACCACTTGAGCCACAGCGCCACTTCTGGCTTTTTTCTTTTTGCTTATGTGGTGCTGAGGAATCAAACCCAGGGCCTCAGACATGCAAGGCAAGCGCTCTATCACTGAGCCACCTTCCCAGCCCCACTAAACAGATTTTGAGTCCAGTCTTTCACTGTCTATAGGCTGTAAGTAACCCATCACAGAGTAATTCTTGTCTGTAGCAATATAAATTGTTCCGTACTATTCAAGTGACTTTACCAATGTGGAAAAGTTTTGCTTTCTTTTGCATATTCATTTGAGATACTACTTTTCTGTTTATTTCTGCCTTTTAGTATCTTCTTTGAGCAGATTTGAATCCCCCCTTCCCAGTGTCTCAGTGTCTTCATTAATAAGTAGAGTCTACAGCATGTTTTTTTTTTTTTTGGGTCCGGTTGTGGGGCCTGAACTCTGGGCCTGAGCGCTGTCCCTCAGCTCTTCAGCTCAAGGCTAGCACTCTACCACTTGAGCCACAGCGCCACTTCCGGCTTTTTTTTTTTCTTTTTGCTAATGTGGTGCTGAGGAATCAAACCCAGGGCCTCAGGCCTGCAAGGCAAGCGCTCTACCACTGAGCCAACTTGGTAGTACTCAGGACCTTGCACTTGCTAGAATGGCAGTTTACTGCTTTAGCTACACGGCCTCAGACCTTTTAAAAATTATCTTAGTTGTACAAAGGTGTATCAATTGAACCTATCAATTCATGAATACATCTTTGATCAATATTACCCCTGTCCTCCATTCAACCCTAACCCTTTAGCCCCCCCCTTTTTTTGTTGGCATGGGGCTTGAACTCAGGGTCTGAGCACTGCCTCTGAACTCTTTCACTCAAGGCTAGCTTTCTACCACGGTGAGCCACAGTGCCACTTCCAGTTTTCTGGTGGTTAATTGGAGATAAGAGTCTCACAGACTTTGGGCTGGCTTTAAACCACAATCCACAGATCTCAGCCTCCTGAGTAGCTAGAATTATAGGAGTGAACCATAGTTGTCCAGTGCCCTTTAATTTTTGTATAGGGTTTTGCTTTTTGCCTTGGCCAGCTTGCACTGCAATCCTACTATTTATAACTCCTGCATAACGAGGATGACAGGCGCAAGCCAATTTATATTGGCTAGATTGCTTCTCATGGACATTTTGCTTGGGCTGGCCAGATACTACAATACATTCCTCTTGATTCCCAGTCTTCAAATGACTAAGATTATAGGCATGAGACACAACACTTTAGCTCAAGGCTAGCAGTCTACCACTTAAAAAAAAATTTTTATTGTAAAGATGCTGTACAGAGGGGTTACAGTTACATGAGTAAGGTATTGAGTATATTTCTTGTTGAACTGGTGGTTAACTGGAGATAAGAGTCTCATGGACTTTCCTGCCTGGGCTAGCTTTGAATCGTGATCCTCAGATCTCAGCCTCCCGAGTAGCTAGCATTACAGATGTGACCCATTGGCACTCGGCTTGTATTCATTCTTATACCCTCAAAAATCATGATTTTGAACTTGTTTGAAAATGATCCTGTAACAATTCATTTGTTTAGTCAATCCCTACTTTCTCACCTTGGCTCTTAACAACAATTGATCCTTCTGTCACCATAGGTTTACCCTTTCTAAAATTTCGTATCATTGGAATATTTGTGTATTTTTTCGTGTAGACTTCTCTTACCTTGTCTTGAAATTCATCCATCTTCTTTTCATTGCTGTGTAATTTTCTATCATATGGACATATTTTAATTTGTTCATCCACATATGATGTTGAACTGTGAGTTGTTTTCAATCTGAAACTGTTATGAAGAATATAGTTAAGGAAGTTCAAGTGTAAGTCTTTACATGGACATGCCTTTCTTTTGGGTAGATGCATTTCTCTTGGGTAAATATCAGTAGAACTGCTGTCCCCAAACTGTTTTGTTTTTGTTTTAGCTGGTTCTGGGGCTTGAACTCAGGGCCT